TACTTACCTGGGTATTATAGTATTGATATTGGTTACTTACCTGGGTATTATAGTATTGATATTGGTCACTTATGTGGTATTCTAGTATTCCTAACTATTGTTGTTGAGTTTTTGGCAGTTACTAATGTGTAAGTCTAATGTTTGAACACGTTTGTTTCCTCCGAATGAGCCCTCTACATCTGACAAGGTTTAGTTACTGGATTTTGCCAGTGAAATAGATTTTTTATTTTGTTATTTTTACGTTGAAACAGGTGGTTTCCTTATATTATAATCTTTGATTATATACGCATTCTCTTGTTTGCGAAAATCGATATAATAAGATTTTTGTTATTGACATGGAAACTTGATATATTATTACTACAGGTTTGAAAGGTTTTCTCTGGTGTACCGTACAGTTTTTACATGGTTAGAAGTAGCTAACCTTAATTAACGATTTAGTACCAGCTTTTCTGCACCGGTATCGTGGTTCATCTTCAAGCAATGTGTACTATACAATATACTTGTTAGCTTAAACTTTATCATTTTACATCTTAGTCAAGTGAACATTTACAGACTTTTGGTTAAATTTTGCTACTGTACAGTGAATGCTAAGCAACCACGTGGTACTGTAGAAGTAGTAATGGTCAAGGAAGACCCAGAAATTCCGTGGTCTGACATCGGCACACCACTTACAGGCCATGATAGCTGTACAGAGACTCAAAATAAAGGTAAAAATGTTAAATTTGTCCTTTTTTTTTTCCTAATTTTATGAGTGACATCCAAATTTTTTAGTTTTGTCTGATTGTATATACCAGAGGCTTAACTTAAATGAATTTTATTAAATATTTTAAGATGATGCTACATGTTAAGGAGGTATTTTAAGATGATGCTACATGTTAAGGAAGTATTTTAAGATGATGCTACATGTTAAGGAAGTATTTTTTAAAATACTTAATACTTCCTTAACATGTAGCATCATCATTTTAAGATGATGCTACATGTTAAGGAAGTATTTTTCTCTAAAATGTTGTGTATAAATTAATTTTTAAGAAACAGATTATAATGTAGAGATAAAGAATATGGTTGTTATCACAGCAAAATAACTTATTTGCTTATGATGATTAGTACGGATGTTTTAAAAAGTCAAAATGTTGAAGAACAGTGTTGTAAGTAGATTCTTTCGAGGATGAAAGGTGTGTTAATATCCACAAGTTAATGATTGGTAAGTAAGATTTTATGTTGTTGGTTTTTTTTCAAAATCCCAAATGGTCGATGCCGTATTCTTATAAAAAAAAACGAGATTTTGCTGAAGATATGCTGTTAGACTTGTCAGAATAGAACTTAATTTTGTAAAGTTGTATATGGTAGCTATTTTTGATGTTTCATAAAGTATTTCTTTCTTTCATATTGTTTAATCTGTTTCCACAGGCTTGCATTTTTTTTGGTTATATTTGTTAAAATGATACATTATTTTGCATTAATGCAAATTATATGTAGAAACTAATATCTAACATTTATATTGTTATTTTTTTCATTAGATATTCATTATCGGGTTTGTGAACTATCTCAAAGAACCCAGCTGACCCATGACTGCTATCTGTTTACTTTTTCTTTCCCTTTGGGCACAAGAATGTGGATCCCTGTCGGTCATCATGTTCACCTCAAACAAAATATCAAAGGTAGCTTGTTGGACAAGTTCTTGTATTATATATTACTTTTTGTTCATTAATTCTCTGCGAGGGCAGTATTTATGTGGAAGTGTTAATAAGTGAAAAGATACTCCAGGATTGGAGCTGTTCAGGAGTACAAGCTATCCCTGTCCACTTTCAAAGGTTCTTGCAATGAGTATGGTCACCAAAAGACAATCCATCCCTATTTTAGATAGCTCATCAGTAGAGTACAAACTCTGTTAGTCAAAGGTCCTGGATTCAAATTCTGGAGTCTCTTTCACTTTAACTTTGTTAGTCAAAGGTCCTGGATTCAAATTCTGGAGTCTCTTTCACTTTAACTCTGTTAGTCAAAGGTCCTGGATTCAAATTCTGGAGTCTCTTTCACTTTAACTCTGTTAGTCAAAGGTCCTGGATTCAAATTCTGGAGTCTCTTTCACTTATTGATTTTTTTCTTGTAAAATTTATTAATACTCTGTGATAATCTCTCTCTCTCTATGTACCACACCGAAACAGGACATTGGTGACCGTGGTCTTCCACAGATCCCCCTCTCTCTCTATGTACCACACCGAAACAGGACATTGGTGACCATGGTCTTCCACAGATCCCCCCCTCTCTCTCTATGTACCACACCGAAACAGGACATTGGTGACCATGGTCTTCCACAGATCCCCCCTCTCTCTCTATGTACCACACCGAAACAGGATGTTGGTGACCATGGTCTTCCTCAGATCTTTCCCTCTCTATGTTCTATATCCAAACAGGATGTTGGTGACCATGGTCTTCCACAGATCCCCCCCTCTTTCTCTATGTACCACACTGAAACAGGACATTGGTGACCATGGTTTTCCTCAGATCTTTCCCTCTCTATGTTCTATATCCAAACAGGATGTTGGTGACCATGGTCTTCCACAGATCCCCTCCTCTCTCTCTATGTACCACACCGAAACAGGACATTGATAACCATGGTCTTCCACAGATTTTTCTGTGTACCATATCCAAACAGGACATTGATAACCATGGTCTTCCACAGATTTTTCTATGTACCATATCCAAACAGGACGTTGGTGACCATGGTCTTCCACAGATTTTTCTACGTACCATATCCAAACAGGACATTGATAACCATGGTCTTCCACAGATTTTTCTATGTACCATATCCAAACAGGACATTGATAACAATGGTATACCACAGATCACTTTTCATTGAGGCACAAATAATTTCCAATGGCGATACATTCATCCATGTATATAAATTTTTGACATAAGTAAACCTCTGTCTTCCACAGTTTCAATCTTTCCAATTACAATCAGACTTTCAATTTCTTCTTTCATCGTCCGTGTCTGAGATACTCCAACCATCTTTTTCTGATGTTAGTCAGCAGCTTCCTCCTCCAATCTGCTTCTGACAAAATATCTTCATTTCGAGTGTGACTTGTGGTACTTATATATCGACTGAACTAAGTTTCAAGTTTTGAATATTATTTTTGTAGTTCTTAACGTGATTTAATTGTCTGGATTTTGTAACCGTATTTTTATAGTTTATAAATGCACCACATTGTTTGCATGTTTTTTATTTTAGATATTTTAAAATTCAGTTTATTACATTACTCTGCTCATCACACAGATATGGACATTGTTAGAAGCTACACTCCTGTGTTGCCGTCAATAACCGACCTGGAGAGCGACGAAACTGAAACTAATGGTGAATCAGTGACTTTGATGATTAAGATTTATCCCGAAGGTGTTCTTACTCCACAACTAAAAAGCTTAGAAATTGGTATGTATTGTTAAAATACAGTGCATATACTATCTTTTTTACTGTCTCTGCTGGTTTTTAGAAAAGTGTGACAGCTTAGTTACAATAGTTTTATCTTTACGGCTGAAGTGGGTGATAATGATTAGTGAATTAAGAATATATATATTGAGAAAATGAGTATTTCAAAAATATACTTTTATGACCTTTGTGCATGTTATAAAAAATATACTTTTATGACCTTTGTGCATGTAATAAAAAAAATATAGCCTTTTTTTGTCATCGCTGAAAAATCTTTTGTTACAAGATAAAGAAGTGAACAGTGGAGTCTGAAAGTCTGCTTGACAAGTGAGAAACAGTCTTTCTAAATCAGGCTCGGCTTGGCTCCATATTCGAATTAGCACTTTTTGAGATCGGAGCAGTGCCGAAAGTCAATGGCAGGGCACAAAAGTTACGTGAAATTATTAAAGGCTTATTTGAAGTGAATAGTCCTTATCTGGAAATACACCAGACTGAGGAAACAATGTCCTTGAAAGATTTAAATATCCTGTCGTGAACATATACTATTATTAGTGCATAGACATACAATACAGAAGTAGTAACATTAATACCAGTTCTTCATTTTAAGATTTCATTTAAAATTAGCCCATTTCTTACTCTCCTTGAGACTGTGGCACCAATCGTGGCCTCAGCTGTGCTTGCCTTTAACCTCCCCATAAAGATGAGTTGTGGAGGTTACTATAAACATATAATCCAGGAGGTTAAGGTCATGTATTTAGAGAGTATCATGTTTTTTTTTTTGTTATTAAGGGTATCCAGAAGTAGAGCAATATAGTTGTTCTCAAAGTACCATGTTGTTTTTATATTATTCACTTCTAATAGGATTTACTTATTCCATGATAGTGAGTGGTTATATTTTAGTTATTTTAGTCTGTTAGAACATCTAGTGTAAATAACTGATCAAACAAATTGAGTGAAATCAACCATTTTCTATGTGAAATATATCAGTAACCCTAGCAATAACACGATTAACTGTAATATTTAGGCTATTTTTATATCTATATATATGGACTGATGGATCCATAAACAAGTATTTTAGAACAAAAAAATGTCCAACAACTAGTTTTTATGTTTTCTATCATAATAAAATAAGTTTTATTCTAATTTTTCTTTGATGTTAGTTTCATTAACAGTAATGACGAACATGTTTAATATGTATATATATATGTATTTGCCTTCACGATACATATACAGAAGTCACAAAAAATGAGCATGGCAACTGGATAGTGAACTTATCAATGATAAAAGCATTACCATGGGAAGTACAAAAGAAAAGAATGAACAGGTTGTCAATATTCTAGTGAACTGTTTTTTCTACACAAAGTATTAAACCTTGTTTTTCTGCTGTCATGTAGTTTATAAATGTACAGTTGTGGAATATTATTCCAAATATCTTGTATTACTCCTTGCAGTTTAGGAAAGTTCTTTGATTAACTTTTGATGTTCTCATTTTTTCGTAAGCTCTTACAGTTTAGAACATTCATTTTGGGGTCTTGTGTAAGCTGTGTTATGGTTGTGTGTGTTCCATCTCCCTCTTTTTACATCAGGTTATCGTTTCATCACATTTGATGTATTATTGAGATCATTGTCTCGCTGGAAGATTAATCCCTGCCCAATGGGTTTCTGAGGGAATGGCATGATGGATCACAGTGTGCCTGTACCAGTCAGTAGTGATGGTGCCATCAGTTTTGTTTAGGTCACTGATACCATTGGTTCTCCCCTCTGCCATTGAACAGACTGTCATTGAACAATTTAAACATGAATTCATCTGTGAATAGCACATGTCTCCAGCTTTGCTATTTTTTTGTTTGTTGTCTAATGACCATTACATTCTTTAGTTTAATTATATCTTTTCAGCAGCAGTTTTCAAGTAGCTACATTTTCAGACCAGTTTTTTAATACGTATCTTACTATTATCAGGGTAACATTCATACATGCATTTTGAGCACATTTACTGGTAAACCCTCTGCTGAACCATTGATTATCTCCTAAAGAACATATACTTGAGATATTTAACATAATGTTTGAGTTTACCATGACCACTTCTATTATTAATAGTGCCAGTTTCAGAGTCTTGCGTACCACTCCATCTGAAACACGGAGTCACTCTGCTTTTTTTTTGCATGGAATATCCTTGAGCAACAAAAACTTTTGTTTCTACATGTTTGTACTGTGTTATTTCAGTCTTGGGAGTTATGACTGGATTCACACTGCTATTGCTGGGCATAGTATAATTTCCTTTTTATTTATTTACCATTTTCATAATTATTACCAACACTATATATATATTTAGGTTTAGAACTAAACCAAGCCTTTTAAGCTGGCTGAACCTTGTTAGATAGTACAGCTGAAAACAGGGAGGGTATCTAACCATTATTATGAGTGTTTTGTGACTTTGCCTACTCATAGTAAGAATGGTATATTAAATTAGTTGTATTCATTACTAAGGTTAATTTAGACTTATGATCTGTGAAGATAGCTTGCTTTGATGAGCAGTTATCAATAATTGATAATTTTACGGTTAACACACCATCATATCTCGGTTACCACAATATAGAATTTTGCTGTAAACAGTTTCTTCTCGTTTTTTTTTTTCGAAATGGTTCAACACCGAAGGAAATACAAATTTCATATATGAACTGAAAGACTTTGTAAAAATGAATTTTTCATATATCTTTTATACCATTTATTATTAATAAATCTGGTACATCTTGATGTACGAGTTGAACCTTACGAGGTATGGACCGTATCGTTACAAATCAAATAAAACCAAGTTCTCGTATTACAAGCTAGATTTGGGATGAGGAAAACGGTCTGTTATACTTTGCTCTCGTATTTATTTTTCAGGTGATTCCGTTGAAGTTGGTGACTATACCGGTGATTTTGATGATAAGATTCTATCTAGGTATTCTCATCTGGCCTTGTTTGCAGCTGGGACTGGTATAACTCCTATGATTAGGCTCATTCAACTGTCCTTGAAGGAGGGAATGTAAGATTTTAGTAATGAATCTCAGACCTAGAGAAACCAGAAAAAGCATGTTGTTCTTCTTCTTAATGTGGTAACCGACTATGTAGTGGTTAGGTCTTGCCCAAGACCTTGATAAATTACACACATCCTCAAAAATGTTAATATTTCATTGTGGCCTTGGGTAAAATTTGTTTCTGAATGTTTTAACTACAATTTTAGTTTCTTCTTAATAAAAAAATTTTTTCGTAGTTACATTGTACCAGATATACAGACATCTTGTTAAAATGTGTAAAATGGTTACAGATAACTAGACAGTTCTTGTAACAAATGACCATAAACCAGAGATAATGGGACAGATGTTTGACCATCCCTGACCTATGAGGGAACTTTTTTTCTTTATAATTATAGATAAATTAAAACAATTTTTGCTTAAAACCAAGTACTGGTTAGTATATAACAAAAAGTTGAGTACATAAAAAAAAATGTTTGCCATCACTGAATGTTTTACGAATAAATACTCTCTCTTGAGAAACCTAGGTTAAAAACTACTTAGTAATCAGGCAAATAAAAGTTAAAAGAGAGCCTAGTCATTGTGTGGAAACAAATTCTATCTAGAATTTAATTCTGCTTGAAATACAGTTTCTAATTTATATCTACTTGAAATCAGCTCTTATGAGTAGGGCCTGGAATGACTAGGTGGTGACTCACAATCTCAGGGTCGCGGGTTCAAATCCCCGTACCACCAAACATGCTCACTCTTTCAGCTGTAGGGGCATTATAATGTGATGGTCAATCCCACTATTCTTAGGTAAAAGAGTAGCCAAAGAGTTGACAGTGGGTGGTGATGACTAGCTGCCTTCCCTCTAGTCTATTACTGCCAGATTAGGGACATCTTTCATGTAGCTTTGCGAGAAATTCTGAACAAATCAAACCAATGTTATGAGTAATTAGTGCATGTTTCATACCTTCTGTTAGGTTTATAACTTCTTTCTGTATTCAGTTTGTAAAAAAATGTAATAATGCACTTACTCTGCTGATAATTTCTGTTCAACCGTTTTATGCTTTCTTTTTTTAGACACGTTCAGTTGATGTTATTCAATAAAAAAGAGCATGACATAGTGTGGAGAAATAACTTTGATGAGCTAGCACGATCATGCAGTAGGTAAGGTATTCCTTTTCTTTTTACAACTATTTGTGCTGTGATCGTATTGTAATGGAACTCCATTTTCCTCCTCCAGGTGATTTAAAACTAAAAAAAAGGTGGGACAACCATATAAATATGGAAGTTCTGCACTTTTGTGACATTTGGAAAAGAGAAATGCACCTAAAAATTACATATCTGCCACATTTGGAATAGAGAAATGCACCTAAAAATGACATATCTGCCACATTTGGAATAGAGAAATGCACCTAAAAATGACATATCTGCCACATTTGGAATAGAGAAATGCACCTAAAAATGACATATCTGCCAGTGTCTTAAAGCTTTTAATAGTCTGCTATTATATTACTAAATAATTTTTATTTGTCCTCTTCTGTTATATTAGAAAATAACCCTTACTGGTCATCTGCTATTATAACAGAATATTACTTTCTCGTTTGTGTACCTGTTGCGATATGTCGAAGTTTTGTAAAATTTGAAACTAAAACCAGTACTAAAATAAGAGAATGCTTCATATCTTTAAATAAACTGTGATTTCAACAGTTTAATATATCGGGAAAATTGGAAGATTATTATAAGACTAGTGCATAGCTTGTCAAAAATGATGGGTGATAAGAAAACTCTGTAAAGATTGCTATAAATGAAAAACAATTTTATTCACATTAAAAATCACATTTTTATTTCATACTGTTTCTTTATACACAACGTTGACAATGTTTACATGTTATTTCTAATGTTACAAAGTGTCCTAATAGAAATTGGAAAATTTTAATTATTGCTGCATACTACATTTATTTTAAACGTTTTTACATTCCTATTTTCTGTTCATGTTGCAACTTTTCACATGTTGTAGCAAAGTATTTAAATATTAAAGAAATGTTAATTTCTTTAATTGCATAATTTAAATACTATGCATTCATACTTATATACATGTAAATAAATATTATCTAACTCTAATGTTAATAATAGTAGGTCAATTTGTAGTCTAATTTAAGCATTAGGCCTAATACATAAACGTAACGTAAGGCTTAGCTGAAACACTACTTCATTGAAATCCTTAGTAACTTTTATTTTGCTTTTTTGTCTACAACTCGATGTCAAAAACTTAGATGTTCATTAAACAACAGAAAAAATATAAATAGAATGTTATCAAACTTATCACGGTACAATAAAAGAGCCTAAAGTACTACTTGTTTTGTAACTAAGCCTAAAATACTACTAATTTTGTAATTAAGCCTAAAGTAAAAGATGAAGTGTGCAATAATCTACACCAGGCCCAAGTGCATAAAACTTCTCATGAAAGAAAAGATATCAGTTCTAAATCTAAATCGTTTCTGAATTAAACTATTTTGCTGTTATATCATCAAAGTTATCCACAAAATAAAGAATAAAAAAACAGATCTTTCTAACAAATTAAGCGTTCAACATAAACACTGTAGTTGGCCTAACAACAATATCAGTTGGTACTTTTGTTGCTAAGCTTCATTGTAAATTGTAGACCATCACCAAAAAAGGAGCATAAAATGAAGACAGAAATTGCTTATTATATATATATATATTAATTTAGGTTATAATAGAACTTAATAATCCAGAATTTGTTATCAATCCATATTATAGTTATTAAAATATTCCATGGAATACAAACATATTTCCAGCTAAACATTTGATCAGCAACATTTATATCCTAACACAGAATTAATGAAAGAATTATTTATCTGAATGAGTTACACTAAATGTTTTTTTTTTATAATACTCATCATAAAAACAGCCACCACTTTCCACTGAATGTATTCACACAAGCCACAACCATTTTACTTAAGAACTTATTTATATGATTCGATTTGTGTGACCTTTAATGAGACACGGGGTGTACCAACGGGTCAGTCTGCAAGCGGCACATATATTGAATATTAATACATCACAACTTCTCAAGAAAGACAATCACATCGATTTACGAATTAGCAGAATGAGCTGATACATCGACGACGTAGCAGTGCCAAACCTACTAAATTTCTTTTACATGACTAAGCCAAGTACTTAAAAAAAAATTCAACAATTGCAAGTAAAACAAATAACCTTGATTTAAATATTAGTGTTATTAATCAAGCATTTTCGTTCATTCCTCTAATGTTCTAACATTCCTCAAATTCTATATCAACCTTTGTTAAATTCTTTATAAGTAAATCCCAATCCCATTTTCAAGTCTGGCCAATCGTTAGTAAGGTCACCACAGACTTTTTGGTGTATTGAGATGACCAGAGACACTAGTGGTCACTTACTCACTCAGGCTGAGCTGTTGTTCTGTGGACATCTACATGAAACATTCCAGTAAATATGATACAACTTTGTATGTGTGTTTTTTGTAATTCATATTAATTTACAGTATTAAAGTTGTTTAATAATGCAGTGTGTATTTTAATTATTCATGATATTAGCTAGATAACAAAATTCTTTAAATAGTGATAAATACATCAGCCAAATATGATAAGCATGATACTGTGAACCTTTACATGTGACATCTCTGTTTTGGTGCTTGGTAATTTCACTGAGCAAGTCTAACCTCGTCTGGCGTTCTTGGATTAAGGAACAAAAACACTATTAATTGCAAAGCCCCCCCCCCTCTCATGTGATGATCTAGGAGAATATGGTCATAGAAAGTCGTTTATTACTAATTGAAATTATTATTGTAGACTTTTTAGCACTACTTTATAACTTGTATCAATGCATATTTTAACAGGATAAAGTACGAAACCTGGTGAAGTGTAAGGTGTACAGAATGAAGGGCATATTGTAACGTTTGAAGGCTATATATGTAAATCCGAACCATACACGCATCTATGGTGGGCCATAGCGAACTTTTCCAAGAAAGATACTAATTCCATTTAGTGTGACAGTTTATAAGGACTTGTGTGTCTAATATGCATTGATTATAATGGTGGAGTCTTATCCTGGCTCAGTAGTCACATAAATCCGACATAATCGTGAACAAAAATGTTTGTTGTGTTACATATTGTGCCCTCTGGTGGCTCAGTGGTAAACTTGATGGCTAAAATTTGAGTTCCTTAATGTGCCCCCTGGTGGCTTAGTGGTAATCATGTTAGCTAAACATCTTCATTACTTGTAGTGCCCTCTGGTGGCTTAGTGGTAACGATAAAATACTTTATTACTTATAGTGCCATCTGGTGGCTCAGTGGTAGACATAAAATTCTTTATTATGTATAGTACCACCAGGTAGCTCAGTGTTAAACTTGATGGCTAAAATTTGAGTTCCTTAAAGCGCCATCTGGTGGCCTAGTGGTAATCGTGTTAGCTAAACACCTTCATTACTTTTAAGTGGAGATTTTGATATGGCTTAAGCCCAGGGCAGACGAGAGGGAGGGGGGGGGGGCAAATGGGCAGCTGCCCCGGATCTGTTGAGGGGCCTGGCAGTGGGATATTCTAAAGCTCACGAGAAATTCATACTACGTGATGAGCTAAAATGGCTGCGGCTTTTTCATGGATTCATGAAGAAATTTGTCACCTAAATTTATTTTATGAAAAATCAGTAAAAGTTAAATAGAACGAAAGGGGGTGGCGATGATATCACCGACCCCGGGGCCTGGGCTGGCTCTCGAAGCCCTTTCTCGACCCAGTATGTAAATGTGTGTGTGTGTGTGTGTATTACATCGTTGGTTTTTCAAATAAGATTTACTTCACAGGATGACTCATTTATAAGTAAAACTTTTACAAAATCAGTCACGTTCTCCAGGTTTGAAGTGACCTACGTGCTCTCAGAACCGCACGACAATTGGCCTGGAATGAGAGGAAGAGTCCGGCCTCATATTATAGAGAAATTTCTTCCCACACGTGATAATATCAAACTCTTCATGTGCATTTGCGGCCCTAATCCTTTTACAAAAACTACAATGAAGTAAGTCAAATAATATTAGTTGTTGTTTTTTTAATGCAGGAATTAATTAGTTTGATTTGTATCCGTGTATGTTTTTCTTCTTGTTGAAGACATTGAATTGAAGTTAATTTTTAAATCAACGTGCACAAGATGATATTCAGTTGATAGTTAAGAATAGATTAAATGTTTTTTTGAATGTGGTTAACATGTAATACATTGAAACATTTTATTGACTTGTATTATGTAATAGATGAAATGTTCGTGTCCATAGGGTTTCAAGTTTATTATCCTCCGGTGTGACAGCAGTAAATGTACGGACTTCTAACGCTAAAATTCAGGGTTCGATTTCCAGTAGATAGTCCAATTTTTTTTATCTTGCTATAAAAGGCAGTCGGCCCGGCATGGCCAGGTGGATAAGGCGCTCGACTCGCAATCTGAGGGTCGCGGGTTCGAATCCCCGTCCCACCAAACATGCTCACCCTTTCAGCCGTGGAGGCGTTATGATGTGACGGTCAATCCCACTATTCGTTGGTAAAAGAGTAACCCCAAGAGTTGGCGGTGGGTGGTGGTGACTAGCTGCCTTCCCTCTAGTCTTACACTGCTAAATTAGGGACGGCTAGCGCAGATAGCCCTCGTGTAGCTTTGCGCGAAATTCAAAAACAAACAAACAATAAAAGGCAGTCAAAGAAATCGCCTTTATTTGATAGACAAACTTCCCGGATCGAACCCACATTTACATCTGAGTTTTGTAAGATTATCACTAGTTTATAAAATAGTTTTATGTGGTCTGACATACAAAACTCATCATATTTTAACTAGTTTTCATATATATATATATATATATATATGTTTATATCAGACTATTTTTAGTAATTATTATAAAGTGTACGCATTAATTATTGTTGTCTTATTTGATGTTGGTTTATACATTTGGGTTATAAAATGCATATTCATAAGTACCCAATAGATGGCGCGGAAGTCACTATGAGAAAATGAACATTAGTTTGTTTTTTTTTAATTAATTTTTACTGTTAACACTAGTTGATTCATAATTTACTGTACTTGTTATTGCTATTGATCTCGGGGCCATTACTATTTCGTATACATATATAATACGCCCTCCAGCAGCTTATAACGTTAAAAACCAGTTTTTGATACCCTTGGTGGGCATAGCATAGATAGCCCATTGTGTAGCTTTGCGCTTAAAAACAAACAGTAAACATAGTACATGTTACTTTTCTTTTCCGTTAATTGGATTCAAACATTTATAGAAGATAAACAACCAGTGACTGTTCTACACAGGGTATGATTATAACGTGGTCTAACAATGACATAATACGGAAAGTATTCAACAAGGCGTAATCTAATAATGATTGTACAACGTTCCATGAAGAATGCTGAATATACGTTTATTTACCGATCTTAGTTACATGAAGAATGCTTAATACACGTTTATTTACCGATCTTAGTTCCATGAAGAATGCTTAATACACGTTTATTTACCGATCTTAGTTCCATGAAGAATACTTAATACACGTTTATTTACCGATCTTAGTTCCATGAAGAATGCTTAATACACGTTTATTTACCGATCTTAGTTACATGAAGAATGCTTAATACACGTTTATTTACCGTTCTTAGTTACATGAAGAATGCTTAATACACGTTTATTTACCGATCTTAGTTACACGAAGAATGCTTAATACACGTTTATTTACCGTTCTTAGTTACATGAAGAATGCTTAATACCCGCTTATTTACCGATCTTAGTTCCATGAAGAATGCTTAATACACGTTTATTTACCGATCTTAGTTACACGAAGAATGCTTAATACCCGTTTATTTACCGATCTTAGTTCCATGAAGAATACTTAATACACGTTTATTTACCGATCTTAGTTACATGAGGAATACTTAATACACGTTTATTTACCGATCTTAGTTCCATGAAGAATGCTGAATACACGTTTATTTACCGATCTTAGTTCCATGAAGAATGCTTAATACATGTTTATTTACCAATCTTAGTTACATGAAGAATGCTTAATACACGTTTATTTACCGATCTTAGTTCCGGCCTTTTTCAGGATGGTCTCCAACGTCTCCCTGGTGCTGTTTTCCGGTTTATACCTTTTAAATCGTTCTGCATTTAGTGTAACTAAATAATGTGAAACATCAGAGCTGTAATTACGATCGTTTTTTAAAAACACAAAAAAGGGGGACATCGTAATTAGTGCATGAAATAAAATCGTTAAAATTTTCTAACTCAAATAAAACATGATTCAACAACCCCAGTGTCCCCTGGTGGTAAGTTTTTTTAATTTGAGAGAACATCAATTTTCACCTAACCCACATAATTGAGTTTATTTTGGCAAGCGGCACCGGAACGTAAAAGAAAATTTTTTAGAATGGCCGTCTTAGAAGCTAGTCCGAGAATTCCCAAACTTTTTTATCGCGTGCTTTAAATGGGCGTATTAGAAACGTAATGGAGGTCTTAATCATAATGGAACTCGCGTATAACGCAAAGTTTATATAGGTAGTTTAATAGACGTATTCAAAATCTATTGATTTCTTGGATACAAAAAAAAAAAAGAAGAAGAATTCAGAAATTCTATGTTGGAAAGATAAGCGACGTACAGAGTATTTATAGTGTTATTCAAATACACGTGATTGTGTTCTATTCCAAATGTCTCGCGTTTTTGCTTTTGAAATTGTTCCTTTCCATTGTATCAAGTATGATAAGCGGAATCGTAATAAGTAATCTATAAATGACTCTGAAATGATAGCTCTGACTTTTTCTTTCCTTTCCGTTTGGGGGGGGGGGGGTGTCATATATTACGTCTCAGCCTTTTGGAGCTCGAGGTTATAATATCGCCTGTTGTCAAGCTTCCTGAAAGATTTGACAGCCAGTAGTAATAAAGATTATTTAAAAGCTTCGCGAGAACTACCGATATTGATCGTATATGTTAACCAACGTACTAGAGTGCCCTCTCGTGGGGCGGGAAGGAGATTAATTGCTGTAATAACCAAGGGATTGAACAGTAATGGTGTACCTGGATAAAATATGTACGAATAAAAAAAAAGAAAAAGAAAGAGAGAGATAGATAGAAAAGCTGGAAGATGTTTGATCATCTCCTCAAGATGTTTCTTCTCAACCCACATGAACCATAGTGCATCAACCGTTTAATGGAGTTGAAGAACTACGTGGATGAGAAACTTGCATTTGAAGAACGGTACGATGTAGCGTTTCTTCTGACTCTTTTTTTCATTTAAATCCCCATGTTCTTGTTTTCTTTTCTAGGTCATAGAATCTTATTTATTCAATGGAATTAGCTCATAATTACTGTAAATAATAAGTATAGGCCTCTCTCTGGTTTGCTGATTTCGTACTGTTTTAGTAGCCTTACTCTAAACCGTTAATATAATAAGTGATACCTTCTTGTTCCCTAATGTGTACCCCCTTGGCTACCATGGTGATCCTTGGTTACCGAGGGATTTGAACTTTTAAAAGCTTTAAACCTTAGAAGGTTTTCCCCTGGTTACCATGGTGATATAACATTTAAGCCCTAGTTGTTTCCTTGGTTACCGAGGGATTTGAACTTTTAAAAGCTTTAAACCTAAGAAGGTTTTCCCCTGGTTACCATGGTGATATAACATTTAAGCCCTAGTTGTTTCCTTGGTTACCGAGGGATTTGAACTTTTAAAAGCTTTAAACCTAAGAAGGTTTTCCCTGGTTACCATGGTGATGGGAAGTTTAGAGTTTGAGATATGTTTCCTTGGTGATGGAACGTTTAAGTACCAGATGCGTTTCCTTAGAATGAGCTAATACCAAAGATACCACAGAAATCTGAATAAAATTAATTCAACTCTGTTAATAGAATATATCTATATATATTTACTAATTTTCGGGTTTTTCCATCAGCAAGTGACGTAATTGTTATCGTTCTTAGACACCTTGATACAATTGCCATCTGGCTTTTTACAAACGTTAATTTTAATATTGGTTATTTCCTGTTTTCACGTGTTATATGAAGGAACCAGTGGTTCGGTTTATCAATAAGATACCCAATTACCGAAAAAAAAAAAATAGCACCCGTTTGGGACAAAGCTGTTAGCTAGGACTCGTCTACAAAAAATTGTTTTGGTTTCCGATAATCGTTCATCATTCGCTATTGGTAGAACAAATATCCGTTAATTGGTCTTGATTTGTTGCAAAACATCGTGAAATATCTAGTGCGTAGCCTTCCCGAGAGTTCGGGGTTCAAGCCTCAGTGCTGCCAAAAAGTATCCGCGCTTTGTGACTGTGGGTACTGTATAACAGTAACAGTTATATTTCACTATTCGGTCAGACAAGAGTAGTTCAAGAGTTGGCGGTGGGTTCTGTTGACTGGATGCCTTTTCTCTATCAGTTCAAAATTAGGAACAACTATGCGTAGATAACCTTTATATAACTGTGTGAAAATTTTAAAAAAAAGATTAAATATATGAATCACATTTGTTCTCAAGAGACGACGCCATATATCAGTTTCGAATAATAATTGGGCACGTAGACTAAAATTCCCGCGACGAACATAGTCATCCTTTCAGCCTTGAGGGCTTTATAATGCGACGGGCAACTCCACTATTCGTTGGTAAAAAGAGTAACCCGAGAATAGACGGTGGGTGCTATTGGTAGGTTGCCTTCCCTCGGGTCGACAGATCAAGATTAGGGACGGCAAAATTAGAACTGAATTTCCTTTTCAAAACCAATCGGATGTGGCCGAATGGTTAGTGCTCGACTGTGGATCTTAGGGTCCGGGGTTCGCGACTTGTTGCCGCAAAGACTCACTTCGCACTTTAGAGTCGTAGGTGTGTTATAAGGGTGACTTTCAAATCCGACTATTCGATTAGAGAATCTCAAGAGTTGGCGGTGGGTGATGTTAACTAGCTGCTTTTCCGTTAACTTATCAGTTCAAAGTTAAGAACGGCTCACGCAAAAACCCTTGCGCAATTAACCAAAATAACCAAACTTTTCAAGAACTCAAA